TTTTTTTTTATTTATATATTTCTCTTTTTATTTTTATCTTTATATATATCTCTATCTCTATATATCTCTCTCTCTCTATCTATCTATATATATCTATCTCTATCTCTCTCTATATATATATATATATATATATATATATATATATATATATATATATATATATATATATATATATATATATATATATATATATATATATATATATATATATATATATATATATATATATATATATATATATATATATATATATATTTATTTATTTATTTTATTTTATTTTATTTATTTTTTTTTTTTACAGTGTATGTTTATATTGGATGTTTGCTAATGAATGATTAAGATTGATTTTAGGTATTTGAATTAGACTATTAGCTTTTGACAGTTAAGTTATTTAAAAAGCTGAAAATAAAATGAGGATTTTATTATCTAAAAATACTGCTTTCTGCTTTTAAGGCTCGTAAGAAATTAGTTAACAAGTACATTTTTATCTTTAAATGATTACGGTAATCATTTTTTTATGCACACAGTTGCTGCATTACTGTCCATATGTGTTCCTATAGGAGAATATATATATACAACGGTTCTGTGTGGTTCTTGAATCTGATTGGCTATATTGTGCGATATTTTGTCAGTAACATCACACAAAGGCCTCTTCACCCTTCACCTCTGTGTATTACTCCGCCCGCATACAGCCAGCAACAACCAGAGAGACACTACAGTTTGACAAATATTACAGCTTTTGGTCAACAAAATGTACTTTTGAGGCTTTTTAGTTAAGAATGTAGTTGTTCAGATTGCAACTATGCAGTTTATTTGTAAGAATAGTGCCTATTTTAAAGTATTTACAATTTCTGAGAGAGCTCGTGAGCGGCCATTACCCTGCCATAGTGTAGTAGACCAAAGACACTTGACGTTTTCTATCCACAAGATGGTGACAGAACCGCATAACAAGCCCTTATGCTTAGAAGATTATAACAGTCTGATTTCTAACTACAGCTGGTCAAATCATTATTAAACTGGTAAGCATCCCGTTTGTCATGGGAGTATCTCAGAGCAAGAAGCTCGCTGATTCGAGCCTCGGTGGGGTCAGTTGGCATTTCTATGGGGAGTCCGTATGTCCTTCACCCGCTTTCCCTCACAAGATATAAGTGAATTGAATAAGTTTTTCCATAGTGTATGTTTGTGAATGAGTGTGTATGGATGTTTCCCAGTGATGGGTTGCAGCTGGATGGGCATCCGCTGTGTAAAACGTGCTGGATAAGTTGGCAGTTCATTCCTGCTGTGATAATTTAAGATTAATAAAGGGACTAAGCCAAAAAGAAAACGAATGCATACTTGTATGCCATATATGTAATTTGTAAATATTGCCATATATCCTATTTCAATATGGTTTCTAAAATTAAAAGTGGCCTTTGCCTAGTTCCAGAGTTACTGTGGTCTAGAACCACTACTGTTAAACTACGGTCACACTAGAGTTTGAGCATGTGGAATTTGTAAAATGTGAAAATACGAAAAATGGCGAACTAAAACAAGATGATTAGGAACATTGATAAAGTAAGTTTCATATTTTTTATCATTTTCAATTTGTGCAAAAAGGTCACGGACCAACAAGACAGGACCAACTTCTTTTGGTCTCACGCAATCATGTAATGCGAAATTGCAGTCTTCACCAAACTTGAACTTTTGAATGCGGTAACATGTGAAACTTGTCGCACAAGCTTGTGTTTACAGTCTGCTGCATGCACATGAGTATGAATGAAAGTCTATGAGGAGAAAAGTGCTTTGTGACCTTGGTTTTAATGAATGCCATGGGCTTTGTATCAAAGTGCCAACTTTGCCCTTGTGTGTGTGTAGTCATGTTTTAAAATCTCAATTCTGCCATCTATTATACTCCTAACAAAGATCTTTCCTTTCTCTTTGATGGGTGAACTGAAGGTAACACCTATGCCTACACACAAAGCATCAACGTAGGCATTTTCCATGTTCAGATCGGTTTTGATGTGCTGCCCTCGGATTGCTTTGATAGAAAAAAAACGCTGTGGTGTCATAACGTTCAGTCTGAAGTGCAGTGTGGATCTCTGCAGTGTTCATTGATTATTTATGCGAAACAAACTGTCTGCGGAGCACTAGAACATCTTACAATCCTCCTCGCTCTAATTGATTGATTTATTTACATATTTGACAGTTCTTTACAAATCTCGTTGCTGCGTGATTAAAATAATTAGACATGCGTTGATGAAAAAAATGTTCACTTTCAGAATCATAATTACTGATGCGTTTGTTTAAGAAACAATGGCGGTGGATTGAGTGCCAGAACACTTGCATGCCAAATGCTAATTGGCTTTTTCAATTCAACATACAGAGCACTGACCTTCTCCTTTATTCTGTCTCGCTTCCTTCTCGCTGTCTTTTTATTCGCTCTCGATTCCTCTGTACCTTCTCTTTTTTTCTTTTTGTTGACAAGATAAAGATAAATCCATTCTTTATATCTGGCTTGTAGATTAGCACCTCAGATGAGCACCACTTACTTTTCTGATTGGCATTGGAGTATTGATACAGGGGTGTCCAAACTCGGAGGGCTGGTGTCCTGCAGATTTTAGCTTCAACTTGCCTCAACACACCTGCAAGGATGTTTCTAGAAAGCCTAGTGAGAGCTTGATTAGCTAGCCCAGGTGTATCTGATTGGGGTTAGAACTAAACTTTGCAGGACACCAGCCTTCCAGGACCGAGTTTGGACATGCCTGATTTAATATGTGTATGCGCTGACTGCTGAACTATGTGTTATTGTTGTTCGTGGAAACATATACGGTATTTGCTGAATCAGTGTCACTATTCAGAGATGATCTTCTGTGGTTATTTAGGGTGCTTTCCCACCTACACTTTTGTTTCGGAACGTGTCTCGATTGCCCAGTTAGCGCGATTCGTTTAGCATATGTGAACAGTGCAATCGCGCTCTGTTCCACGCCAAAGTAATCGCTCCGAGATCGCTTGAATGAGGTGGTCTCGGCTCGATTGAAACGAACCCTGGAGCGGTTCGATTACAGTGAGAAAGCGGTCCGATCCGAGCGCGGTTATATCACAGTGTTATCAGCATGGCAGGAAGTT